CGCCTCTGCCGCCGCCCAGGGCGGCCGGGCCGGGGCTGTGGATGCCCTGGCACCGCATATCTCCGATGAGGCCGCGCCCCGGGGAAGGGCTGGGTGGGCACGGGGCCCTGCCACCCGCAGGTGCCCCGCTGGGGTCAGCCTGCGGTGACCGGGACGGGAGATCCTCCTGGGCTTGGGTCCGTGGCCTCTCCCTGGGCCCCAGCTGCCGGGGGAGCCGTTCAGGTTGCCCTTCCCAGGGAGAAAGGGCTGGCAGTGGATGTCCGGAGCAGGGCTTGCTGCAGGAGTGGTCTTGTGGCAGCACACACCTGCGCTCTGCGGAGAGATGCTAAAATTCTGAACAAGGTGAAGTTTCCTCTGAATGTGTTCTCATCCTTTCAGGAGTCTCCAAAGTCTACCAAAAGCACCACAAAGCCTGGCGGCGGCAGCAGCAGCAGCAACAGCAGCAGTAGCGGGAAGGATGGTGGGGCAGAGAATTCAGAGGAGGTAAGGCTTTCAACTTGGGTACAGCAGTGTGCATGTGCAAGTCAGCTTTGGGGAGGAATTAAATCTTTCATTTTAGCTACTTCAAGCTGTTCCACCAGATAACACATGTCACCAGGATCTTAAGAAGTCAAAGAAGGAAAATTGGCCCAAAGGGAGCAATGACTATGGATGAGACTGGATGAGTGTCATACCCTACAGACCTGCAAAAGACATTTGGCACAAAGCTGAGGGCGAGTGCTGTTCACAGAGGTGGGCAGGGCATGGCAAAATTGGCTGCAGAAAGGGACAAGCCATGATTATCAAGGAGGTGGAAGCCTGACAGATGGGAGCAGCTTCCATGCTCCTGTCAGAGCAAAGTGCTATAAACTCTGTTGTCACTTTGTGTCAGAGTGGGAGAGTAGTGAGAAGCAATAGGAAAAGATCTGTTCTTCTGAGGCGTTTTCTGGAGGAGTGAGATTAGGAAGTAATGGATAAGAACACTTGAAAGAATAAAGTGCTAGAGATTAAATGTCTCTCTTGTGGTATAACAGCCTTGTTGCTGAACGCAGCATTCCTCACAAGAAGGCGCAGTCCATATTCCCAGATGTGCAGTCTCACTCTCAGTTTGGAAGTTGCCAAGGTAGATATGTTAAAATGGCCTCAGCAGAATATGGTAGTTTGATAAGATGTCCTTAGAATTAGGGCAAGTTTATGTTCAGTGGAACTTTTCTGGTAGTCTGAGTTTGTCTGGCATTCAGGCAGTGGTTGTGGAATTTGAGAATTGTCTCTGTAGAATGTTATACACATCTCAGGAAGCATGCATGTCTGTGTGGTTTATTTATTTTAATACTGCAATTTGGCAAACAAGCTGTGCCACTTCTATATCCAGAGAAGCTTGTGTGCTCTAGTCTTGTCTGGAACACATTGCACTTGTAATTTGGAGGGTTGGGCATGGGAGACATGTAGGGCTAATGAAGACTAGGAGGAAATGTGCAGTACAGTGGCATGGTTGTAGTCAATGTTTAGAGTCTACTCCAAAGCAGAGATCTGCATTGCAGAACCTCAGAAAATAACCCTACTATGAGCCATTCAGTTTTGTGCTCATGCCTAACCTGCCATGTGGCCAGCAAGGAATTGGAGGCTTACTTTGTGTGCCTTGGAGTAGGCAGCAGTTTTGTAGATCCTCCATCCTGCCCTTTGCCTCTATCCATTTTGTTCTGTGTACACAGCTGAAAGCAGCTTGGTGGGAGAGCTGCCTGTGGACTCCAAGGAAGTGAGAGAACTCCTGCGTTGGCATTATGGGGTCAGATTTACCTTTTATTTATGTGAAGCTCTTTTGCTGAGTTCAAAGCTCTGGAAAGGTGTAGGAAAGTCTGGGTCTTGAAATGGATAACCAACAAAGCAGGTCACT